TAATAATAATAATAATAAAAATAATAATAATAATAATAATAATGATTAAATAAACAATATTAATAATAATATAAATAATAATAATAATTAAAATAATAATAATAAGTATAATAAAAAAAAATATTGAAAATAATAAATATGATTATATTTAAAATACTTATAAATAAATAAAAAAAAAATAATAAAAAATAATAATAAAAAAAATATAAAATATGTAATAAAAAAAAGTATTATTTAATGTTTATTTATTTATTTATTTATTTTATTTATTTATTTATTTATTTATTTATTTATATTCTTTCAAATTATTTATATCTTTCTTTTTAAATTAATTTTACACAACTTTTTATAACAAATCTTTCATTTTAATTCTGGTTTTTCATCTTAAGTTAAAACGTACTATTTTGACTTTTCTCCATAAACGGCTATAAATTAAATAATACCTTAAATTTTCAAATCGTATATTTCTATAATAGTACTTATTTAAATTTTTTTTATTAAATATATTTTAATAAAATTGGATAAACTCTATATATTGCTAAATAAACACTTATCATACTTCTATAAGGAAATACTGTTTATATAGAATCAACTATAGGTAATTTTACTAATTAATAGTTTTAATGATCTTTCATAAACTTATTAATTTTTGATTCTTCGCCTTGATTTATTAATAGTCCGTATGAAAATCTACATTTATTTTTATTAATTACTTCATTTGGATTGTCATAATAAATACCAGTCATTCTTGAGAAATTAAAATGTTCTTAAGTATCTTCGACAAGTTAAATATAATATTATTTACATTCCATGTAATTACAAACTGCATTTTAATAAATAAAAAAGCGGTTTCCAAATTCTTACTTATATTATTAAATATTTAAAGGAATTATTACACCATAATACCATAATAAAATAACAATTAATATCAAAACTAATAAAAAAATATAGAAATACATATTCATACAAATTTTATATAATTTTTAAATTAAAATATTCAATTTTATTAAAAAAATATAATGAAGTGTAAAAATAACAATTCTTATAATTTAGTTTAAATAAAAAAAGATATTTATAATTAAAATTAAAAATAAAAATAATTAATTTATTAAAAAAGAGAATTTTTGTAAAAAATTTATAATTAGATATTTATATATATATATAAAAATATAAATTAAATAAATATTTTTTATATGAAATAAATATATATTTTTTTTTAATCATAAATACATATTATATTTATTTTCGTTTTTTATATAATATATATTATTTTTATTTATTTTTTTTATTATAATTATACTTAATATTGTATAATAAATAGTTATTTAAATATTATATTTTATTTTATTTGATTTTATTTTATTTTATATACTATTTATAATTTTTAATGGTTTATTATATTTAAAAAGCATACATGATAAATAAATTTATATATATAATACATAAAACTATAATTTTATTATATTACTTTTATTGAATATTTCTTTGATAAATTAATTAATTACAAAATTTGTTTTAATATTTTTTTTGTTATTGAATTTTTAAAATAATAAATTTCATAAATATAAAAAAGCAATTAAATAACTATTATAAAAAACTAATTTATTTGTTTTAACTTTGTTAAAAAATTTTATATTACTTTTTTTCATAAAGTAATTATTATTTTTTTATATATTTAATGTTTAGATTTTTAATATATATTTTTTATTATAAATTAATTAATAATAAAAAGTTTTTTTTTCAGAATAATTAAATTTAATATGAATTAATTATTTGTTACCTGTTCTCGATGTTTTTTATTTTATCTTGTATTTTTTTTTTTATAAACTCAATTAAATTGAAATAAAAAGTCTATATGTTTCTTTCACTTTTTTTTATTAGCATAGATCCATTTAAGTTTCCAAAAAAGGCATTAATTAATCACTTATAAATTTAGATGAAAAATAAAAAGAAAAGACTAAAATAAGCAAAATGTTATTAATATATTGATAAAAAGCAAAAAATTAAACTATCATAATTATTCAAATTAAAAAATATATGAATTATTTTTTATATTAAATTTTTAAAGGAAAACGATGATTAAAATGGTCATCAAATTTATAAAATATGAAATAAATATTTCAAAAATATATAAAAATACAAACTTATAACTTATATTATCAAAAATAATTGAATTAAATATTAATTATTTATAAAAAACACAAAATAAAATTGTAAGTTGATTCTTACTTTTAATGAAGATGAAATAATTAATATTATAAAGGGAGTTTTTAACTAGGATTTGATTTGATTTTTTATCACTAAAAATAATTCGATTTTCATATTTTAGAAATGTGAAGTTTTTTATAGGAAACTGATTTGATTTGAAAAATCAATTAAATTCTATTTTTATAATAAAAATATCAAAATAATATAATGAATTTTATAAAAATAATAATTCTATTTCTAAATCATAAAAATATTAGAAATTGAAAATATAACGATAGAAAATTAACTTATACAACTATTACATAAAAAAATAGAAAAAGACAAAAATATAGTAGTCAAATAATAATAGTAAGTTTTAAATATCTGATTGAATTTTATAAAAAAAAAATTCTTATAAACAGAGATTTAATTCAATATTATTTTATATAACAGTTTTAAATTATATTTAAGAAATATGATTATATTATTTGATTTAAGCATTATAATAAGTGTTTAATACTAAATGTATACATTTTATAAAGGATATATTCGTTTCTTATAAAATTTTACTATATTTTCGACTCTTTTTTTAAAAAAATTGTATTAAAAATTTAATTATTGTTCAATGATAATATTGTTAAGAACTTTCATTTATTGCTTAATAAAATAAAGAGTAATTATAATCTTTTAAATTAATTTTTTTAAAAAAATAAATGAAATTTAAAATTATTTAAAATAAAATCAAATGAAATAATATATTATTTTTTTAGAATTTTTTTTTTTTTCTATATTTTATTAAAACCCAATTAACAATAAAAAAGTTATTTATCTATGTTTTATGGTAGTTTATTTTATTGGATAAAGAATTATATTCAGAAAAATGCTTAAAATATATTAAAAAAAACAAAATTAAACAATAGTATACATGAAATTTTATAAATAAATATCTAATATTTTAATTATATTGCTTTTCATTTTGTTTAAGATATTAAAATAATTATTAATAAAAAAGTATATATTTTATATTTTATTAAAAAATCATTTCATATATATATATATATTTTTTTAAAAAAATTTAAGAATTATCTAAAATTGCATAATATGTCTTTTTTTAAAAAAAATTAAAATAAAAATAAATATGACATTCTAAAAAAAAATATTAATTATTAGATAATCAATTAACATTATTTTTTTTCAAAAATAATTAATTATTTAATTAAAATAATTTTACACTTTTACTTGTTAGAACAATTTATTTAAATATAATAAAAAAATTTTCTCTTTTTTACCAAAATAAAAAAAAATAAATTCAAATACATCTAAAAATATAAATTAAAATGATTTTAGGTTCTGAAATAAATGAGTTTGTGACAAATCGTTAAAACTCAAAAATACAATTCCTTCAAGCAGAAAATAATCAACTCTAAGAAGACATAAAAGATCTTGAATAAGCTTTAAAATTGAATAAAGAAGCTTTAAAATTAGCATATTAATAAAAAAAAATACAAAACAATTAATAGAATAACGTAAGTAATATAAATAATCAAACTATAAATTACTAAGATATTGATAATCAAAATAAACTATTTGAAAAGCTTTATTAAGAAAATAAACAGCTTTTAGAAACATTAGAAAGAATTACAAAAGAAAGAAATTAAGCACAAAGCAAAGTATTTTTTTAATTTTTTATTTGTTAAAAATATATATAAATATATACATATATATATATAAAAAAAGGTTTTAATATAAGAATAAGTAAATGAAGAAAATATTAACTTTTAAAAAGATATAATAAAAGAGTTAGAGGATAAAGTATAAGAATTAAGAGTAATTATTCACGATAAAGAATATACTGTTTAAGAATTAGAAAAAAATCATACATCAAGTGTAAAAGATATAGCAATCAAAATAAGAGAAGTATTTTATTTTATTCAAAATTCTAAGTAATTATATTTATTTAGATAATAACACCAAACGAATAATCAATAAAGCTTTATAGCGAGATTGAAAATCAAAAATATAACATTAAAAAAATAAATGTAGAAAATTAAAAATTAGATACTTCAATGTAAAAATTAAAAGATTATAATAGGGTATTAATAATAAATGTTTATACAAATTAAAAAAAATATAAAAAGAAATTAAAAAGAGAAATAATTAAACTTAAAGTTGCAATAAAAAATAAAATAAGTTTTCGAAAAATGAAAGGTATTTATAAATAAACAAAAAATATATAGATAAATTATATATAATGCTAGAATTCGTAATAAATGATAGGCTTTAAAATGGAGATGAAGATTTATTTTTAAATAAAGAATATATAAATGATTATTATTAAGATAAATAAAAAGATCGAATAAATAAAAATCAGTAATAATGTATAGGAAACTATTATAATAATTCAAAAATAAAGCCTAAATAATAACTAATTGATGATATAACAAAATTATAATTATAGTTAAGAAATTTTAAAATATTATTTTATCGTGAAATGCAAAATAGTAATTTAATAAATAAACAGGTATAAAATATAATATAATATTATAAAAAAATAAAATATATTTAAATATAATTATATTATATAAAAAAAAAAAATTATAAAAAGAAAATTAAATAATAATATGAATAAGATAAATTAAAAAAAATCAAAATATATAATATATTATATATAATAAATATAAAAATATAAATATACAATTAAATAATTAAATATACATATACATATACATATACATATATATATTATATATATAAATATATTTTTATATATATAATTATATTGATATAATCATTTATTTCTAATTTATATTCAATTATAAAATTTAATTTATAATAAATTTTATTTTTATTTTATATATACTTTTATTATTCTAATTAATTTTATATATACATATTTAAATTTTTATTAAAGTATAATAATTTTTTTTTTAATATTTTTATTAATTAATTTTTTTTATTATATACAAACGAAACATTTTTTTTATAGTTAGATAATCTTCAAAAATTTTAATATTAATTAGTATTAACAAATGAAACGATTTTTGATAGCAATAAATTAAATTAGGAAAAGTAAGATAAAATGAAACAAGAAATAGATTATTATAAATAATATTATTATAAATTTATTGATAATATTAAAAATAGAAAAAGAAATAATTCTAATTCTTCTTTTATCATTGAAAATAAACCGTAATATATTTATAAAAATAATATTAAAAAAATTTTATTAGAAATACTACTAAAAATTAATATTCTTACAACTAAAAAATTTCTTTTGTTTCTTCTACAAATTAATAATAATAAGATATATAAGCACCCCCTTTACGTCCTAGATAAATGGTATCTTCTCCTCGTCCTATTCAATAAACATGCGAAAATGATGAAGTTTCTACAATGAATAAAAAAAAGGATATTTTTTTTAATATCTTAACATCTCCTACCTAAAATAGTTAATAGTAACAATAATTTTTCAATCAAAAATAAAAAGGAGTAGTTGATTTTTTTGCAGTTTAAAATAATTTAGCACTATAAAATAATACTAATACGCAAGATATTAATGTTTTACCTGGTTATTAATAACCTTCAACTTCTAGACCATATAGTTATGTAAACGATGAATATCATGAAGAAAACATAATGATTGATTAAGAAAAATTAAAATGTGATGAATCAACAGATGAATTCTCTATACAATAAAATAAACTATTTTTAAAATAATTAGCTTCTGGTAAAAATAAATTAACTTTTATATTAAAAATAAAATAAATAAGATTTATATAACAGCCTCAATTTAAGATAAAACAATAAAATAGGAAAATATAATAAAGATAAACTTAATTAAAAATAAGAAAATGTTACTATATTCTAAACTAAAAGAAGTTTAAGTGATCCTTTGGATTATATTTTTATAAAATAGGATTATTAAATTGGAAATTATTAACAAAATATTAAATAATTTGAATAAAAAAATACCAGTTCTATAGTTGATCCAGATAAACTTTTTAATATTGATGTTTCTATGATTGGAGGTGATAAAAAAATCCCAAAAAAATAAATTAATAAGGATAAAATCGTTATTGATGCAAATGTATCATTCATTTCTAACTTTAATGAAGGTGATGATTATAATTAATGACATTTTTTTAAAAAATAAATATTAAATTTATTCATATATTATAACAAATATTTTTTTTAAAAAAAATTATTTAAAGTTATATATTTTTTGATAAGAAAAATTTTTATTTTCAATATTATTTTTAAATATAGGGAAATAAAATTATTAAAGTTTGTTTTTAATAGTTATTATTTTTAGTTGATATTAATTTGTTTATTTTTTATCAAAACTAATAGATAAAGTATTAAAATTATATTTATAAAGAATAATTTAATTTTATGTAAATATAATATAGATAATAAATATTTTTATGATAATTCTTAATAGATTTCTATTATTTTTTATTTATAAATTTTATTTAAAGTTTTATATTTTTAATTTAATTCATAATCATCCAGAATCTAAAATTTTTTCTCTATAGTTATAAAAAAGTACAGGATTTATATAAAGTCTAAAATTAATTAACTAAAGAAAATCTCTCTCTAATTAATTAACTTCTTGCAATGAAATTCCTCCGATTTTCGCATAATATTCATTATTATAATATTTGTCTTCATAAAATTTTATTGAAATCATAACTGATGTTATTATAATTCTAAAAAAATAATATAATTTAAAAACAAAAAATAAATATTCACCTATGTATACTATAGCTGTTTATTAAAAAATTTTTATGCCTTTCAGTTATTCGATCTATGTAAATTAAAGCCATTATATAACACTCTTATGTACAACCTGATAATTTATTTATTCTTAACAAATAATCATTTATTGATATATTTGGAATATTTTTTCCATGAAAGTTCGTTATAAACTAAATAGGTAGTTTATCACATTATAATGTTATTTCTGTCAAAACATTTGATATTATTTAAAGAATATTTTCATTCGATATTTATTAATATCCATTTAATTTATAGATTTAATCGTATGTTATTTTTTCGTTTTAAAAAATTATTTATTCATCAAATTAATTCATTATTAAAATTTATTTTTATTTTATATTTTATTATTTTTTTTTTAATGAATTTTTTTTTTGTTAAGTATTTTTTTTAAAAAAAAAAAATAAATAAATAATATATATAGTAATTTTTTTATTTATAAATAAAATTAAATAATATATAAATTTTAATTTAAAATATATATTTATATATATAAATATATATATAATTCATAATCTATTAAACTATTTATTAGTGGATACATAAATTTGAGGTAATTTGTAATTATCTCGTTTATAATTTTATTATAAACTTTAATATTCTTAAATTTTTTATTACTTAATAGAATGAGATAATATATTATAGGAAGCTAAGTTTCTATATAGATTTTATTTTTTTATATTTAAATTTAAAGAATAATGTTTATTTATATTTTTATCTTTATTTTAATTATTTACATTTAAATTTTTATTAACATTTTATTAAATCAGTCCCTATGAAATTCTTCCAAATTTTTTATTTCCTTAAAATATATAAAAAATAAAATAAAAACAAATTTTAAAACCTTCTTTTAAATTTTATTTATTTGCTAATTTAAAATTATTGCTTATTTTATCATTTTATGATATTTATTTATAATATTCTTAATCTTAATATTTTGAAACGACCAGATATTCGCGGATAGGTCGTCCTAAAATAATAGAGTTAGTTTCTTTAAGATTATAAATTGAATTAGCACTATTAAATATCATACATTTAGCTAATTAAGCTAACTCTTCTTTACCTCTAAAATTAGTATCATTTAAAAAGCAAATACTTTCTGTATTAGTTTTAATTGAAGAATTTTATACTTTTTCAAGTTTATATTATTCATTTTACTATGTTATATAAGTTTAATTTTGATTTGATTTTTCTAAAATCTTTGAATTATTATTAGATTTTTAAAAGCCTAATAAACCTAAAAAATTGTATTTTTAATATTATTAAAAATTAAAATTTAAATAATTTATTTTTTTTATAAAAAAAAAACATTTTATTTTTATAACTTTGTTTTGATTTATCTTTAATTTGAACTCTATTTATTTCTAAAGAATTATATTTTTTATCAATAATAGGAATTATATGAAAACTACTTATATTCGATTTTTTTGGCGAATATAATTATTTTTAGTTTTATTGCATTTAAAATTTATAAGTTTTCCCATCATTTTTTTTAGGAATAAATATTTAAGAATTATTTTTTTTTGGTTAGTAAATTAAATTTTCATATTCTCCTTCTTTTTATTTATACACTAAAATACATAAAAATAGTAATAATTAACATAATACTTTAAATAAAAAAAAAATAACTGTTTATCGATTGATTTTTTTATTATTATTATAAAAATTTATTTTCTTAGTGCTTGCTTTTAGAAAGACCAAGTATTAAATTTTGTTCTTTTAACAACTCTAAATGATTTGATTCCGATATTGTTGGATTTTGATGCTATATTTGTAAAATTAAACTGCTTTTCAGGCTTTTGCTATTTTAAATTGAAACAAATGAATTGTTTGTATTGCTTTCACAATTTTTATAGATTATATAATTATTTAGTTTATTCATTTTTGATTTTATAGTATTTACTTAATAAAAAAATATTTAATTTTTTATTTTTTGATTATAATAAATATTAAATAAGAATTTAATATTAAACAATTAAAAAAATTCTTATCGATTTTATTTTTTTTAGTATTATTGAAAATAAACGCTTATTTTTTAAAAACATGAATCGTAACATTAATAGGCTTCTTAAATTTTTAATTAAAAATAAACAAAGTAAATCGTGTTTTTAAAATAAAATTTTAATATTAAATTTTAAATATATATTTAATGCGAATAATTTTAATTTAATAGTAAAAATTTTACAAAAGCATAGGAATATTTTAACGATAGTTAAAGACAAAAAATTATATAATTCATTAGAATTCTTTATCTTATTTAAAGAATAAAAATAATTATAATTTTTCAATTAAACTAAAAATATATTTACATGAAGAAATTAAAATTATAAAATATATCTATTAAACTGATATTTTATTTAAAATAGAATATAACTTGAATTGATTATATATTGTGGGCAAGTGTCATTATATTTATTTAAAAAGAAGTCTTTTTTAAGGATCTATCCTGATTTTTTATAATATGAAGTTAATATTATATAAATAAAAAATTCTATTCTATTTTATGTTATGTTATAAATATTAAGCTATATTACTAAATAAACTTTATATATTTAAATAATTTTTTAATTATTTTGTTAAATTTAATCAATAAAAATAGTTTTTCAGTACAGTTATATTATAATTTTCTTTTGAAAAAAAATAAAAAAATAATTAAATAAAATAATATTAAAGCATATCAATATATTATTTTTTCAATAATATTGATTTATTTAGAATAATTCTACTATTTTTGAATAAAAAAGCCTATAAAAATATATAAACAAAACAAGAATTTGTAAATAGACTATTTCTATAAAAAACGCAGTAAATAATTATAAAACAAAAAATAATAATAATAATTTAAGATTTTAAATTGCCTATTTTATGATAATCTTATGAAATTGACTGATGAAAATAAATATAGATTTTCTTATGGCTTATTAGTGAATTTATTTGATGAAGGAATAGTAAATAAACCCATATAATGAATTAAGAATATTATTAGCTATGTTGTTACATTACATTAATATTACTCAAAAATGTATCCCTTATATAAATAAGGATAGTTTTTATATATCTACTATAAAAGTTTATCCTTCCCTTTTGAAGTAATATTATATTTAATATCATTGATAAAAAAAACTCTGAAATATTAATATTACTAAATCTAAATATACGGAAAAAATACTGAAAGACCTAAACTTAGATAAAGTCTAAATAAATCAAGCAAAATGTAACAATATATGACTATAACCAAATAAATAAATAAAAACTAATCTATAACTAATACTTATAAACAATAATAATGAAGGATGTGAATATGAATATGAATATAAAGCAGAAAGTCAAAAAACTAGCTAAATAAACACTGATATAATATCAAGATATATGAACTATACATGACCAGAAAAAAACAAACTAAAAATAATAATTAATGACGACGTACTGAGGACGACAGGTTATTCGTAGAGTTTTTCATGCAGGTTTCATAGTTTTCTATTTTTTTATCTATTTGAATATCCAAATTCATATCTTCATAAAATAATCATATTTTTTGGTTTATAGAATAATTTTCTTTTTATACAATTTAATATTTTAAATAATTTATTTTTTAATTATTACAGCTATTATTATGATAATTAATTCTTCAATATATTAACATATTAAAAATTTTATTATGTTAATGAGTTTAAAATATTATCAGAAATCTTATAATTAATGTTTTTTAGAGTAATTATCGGTTGTTTTAGTCAATTAATTTTAAACTTTTTATAAAAGCTTAATCGTCTTATCTAAATATTAATAATTAATATTTTAATAATTTTAAACTGAATTATAGGAACTTATTTACTATAAATTTATTCCAAAAATATTTTAAATTACTAATTTATCTATCTTATCGAATCTTAATCACATAATTCTTTAGATTTTATTTTATTTCATATTATTAAAGAGCAGAATTAATATTATATATTTATTTTTATGAATAATTATTTATTTTTTTAAAACTAATTTAAATGAATTAATATCTGTAACTCATATAATATAAAAATATAGAATCTATCAAAAATTATTATCTTTTTTCATTTAATTATTCTTTTATTTATCAAATTAATGGCTATCTATAAATAAATGCTATGATTATGATACAACTTTTTTATTTGTTAATGAAGTATCAGTCACAGAAAACCTAGAGTATAGGTTTTTAACTTTTCATTATTTTCTTATTCATGTACAGATACTAATCCAACACATTCAAATCTCTTTTTAAAATCTTAATTTATTATATTAAATCCATAATATGTTTAATACAAATTTATTATTAATATAATTATTTCTATACAAAAATATTCATTAAAATATTAAAATGGTGTTCAGAATAATAAAATACAACTACCAAACCCTATTCAGCTAATCAATTTTTGTCTATTTATGACATCACAAATTTATTGCTACTTTATGCATTTCTTTATAATTTTCCTAATAAAATTTGTTTGAAACTGACGCTAATAACATAGATAAATATATTAATAATATAAAAAAAAATTAACTTTATAAAAATTTGATAAAAGTAAAATTTTAATAAAAAAATACTAATAAAAAAAATAGGTAATGTTATTTATAAGCTTTGATAAAAACTAATAAAAATAAAATTAGAATTTTATGGTAATCATACCTAGGAATATTTATTTATGAGATAGGAAAAACAGATACTAACATAGTTAAACTAAAAGAAAGATTAATTATGTAAAAAAATCATTAAATAAAATTTTATTGAGAATGTAACAAATAAAATGACAAACATTAATACTCTTAATATACCTGATAATTACTAACCCTATTTGATAAAATAATCTACTGATATAATCAAATAATAATCATTGATTAACTAACCTAAGTATTAAATAAATATTATATTCGAGTATTTTATTGCTTAATGAAAATCTTTAAAAGCTTTGCTTTTACATATAATTATAATTCTTGGTTTAATTAATATAAAAGGACATAGGGAATTTCAAAAATATATAGGAATAATTTTCAAATTTTTAAATTATTGAATATTATATTTTATATTTATTTGATATAATGAAATAAATATTATTATAATATATGTATTTTTATATTTCTTGATAATAAAATAAAATAAATATCTTAAGTTGCTAACTAAAAAAAATTTTATATAGAAAAATTATAACATTTAACAAGAAATAAAAAGATAACAAATAGATATTGGTTATTTAAAAAAAAAAAAAAAAATTGGTAAAAAAATATACTTGAAATTATAAAATTTAGTAAAATATATACTTAGAATTATAAAATTTAGTAAAATATTTCA